CAGAAGGCTTATTTTTATAGGTTTGGATTCCCTGGATGCCCTGTATATGCTCACATCTGTGTTAAACTTCGAGTCTTGGGTATATTCTTGATATGATCCAACCTAGTTCCGGAATATTCATTGTATGGCTTCTCCAGCCATGGATGTGCAGAACAGGGCCAAAATAAGTGCACAAACCTTTAATCAGCCTCCAAAAATCTCATAGAATTCACTTTCATTCTAGCAATGTTTGCATCCCATCAATAAGCATCAAACCAAAAGTTTTAATTAAAGTTTCCAAATTCCTTGCCATTCTTTCTCATCCACAAGTGTCATACAATCCCCCAAAAAATTCAGAATTGTCAGCGTCACTTGATTACACAATGCAAAATTCTTATTAACTTAATTTCCTTCCCCCATCATAAGCAATTTCTGATTCACAAGAGATTAATCTCCTTAAAATTTCTTACTTTCATTATTAGTCATTTAATTCCCGGATATTTTCGATTAATAAATCAAAAAAATATAGAAAATCCTTGTTCATTGTTCTCTGTGCCATTCCCATATGATTTAATATCTTCCCATGTATTTATTTTTCTTTTTTCATCATGCGACCAACCTAATATTGGCAATAAGAACAAAATCTTTTAATGAGAAAATTCAGTAAAGTTGATTTGCCAACAAATCTTCTTATAAGTTTCACATATGATTTCATGTATGATATGTGAGGATATTAAAAGAAGGGAAGATGGAATTAAATCGGAAGGGATAGGTATGGTGCAGGTATGTGTACATAAGAAATATTTGTAATCATAAAAGTTGATATGATTTGTGGATATTTGCTAGATACGATCGATATTTTGTGATATTATTGAATTATTTCATGGTTTTGTGAATTAATCGGTTCAATTCTAATTGAATTTGTGGAAGTAAATTTTGAAGATTTTGAATTTTGGAAAGTATTGAGATTGAAGCGGTACCCTAGCGACTATTCTGTGTCTTTTGTGAGTATCAACATTAATCTTCATCATAAACAGTACAACTGAAGAGCCAGGAGATTAAAAATCCTTGTACATGTTCCTTCAAATCCAATCAAATTCGACTTACTCCACTAACAGTCCACATATCCATTAAACACAAGAATCTCCACATTAAGGACCATAAAAACTATCGAACATAAAAAAAATTAATTACAAAATTCCATCTCCAATTTTTTACATCCCAATTAAATCTTAATCTCACTGAAATTCCTGACTTTATTAAAAAATTAAAACACAGCCGCAAAAAATTCTTTACAAAAAAATTCACATAAAAAATAATTTTCATATTTTATAACTATTCATCCTCATCACTTTACTCTTCAAATAATAAAAGAAATGAAAATGTTCTAACCATTCAATAAAGTTCTCAGTAATGTCCAACGCCCGAGTGATACAATGTTGATGATGGGACATTGAAAGGTTGTCATATTGTTGATGAAGATTGTTTTCTAGGGTCAACCGTCAGCTTTCAGGTAAATCTTAGTCATATTCACTAGTGTTGCTAGAGTTAAAACTATGGTAAATTTTAAAAACCAGATCCTGGAATCAGTTTCTAACCGTAGAGTTACAAATCGATGTCTTTCTCTTGTGGTCTGAGCATAAACTTTTGATGTTTAGGTGTAATGTCCTGAGCATTGTTTGAATCCTTGACAAAAAAACAACATTCTATGTAACGATTGAGAGATCAGTCTGACGAATCGAACCTTTTTTTTACCCTTATTCAACTAGACATTCCTTGGTATCGAACCAAGGTCCTTAGGGTTGGTTGTAGGAATCGAACCGACGTCCTTACAAAAGAGAGTTACAGATGCTAGTCTGTGGCTTTGTACTCGCAGCACAGAGGCTTTATTCTCGCACTCACAGAATCGCCATTATATTGCTCGCTGCCCATATGTCTTACTGTTCAAGCCTAAAAGCCATGACAGAGATCTAATGAGCCTAACCGACATGCATTACTCGGTTTAAGCACAATCCCATAAGCAGTATAATATAGATAATGAAATGAACTGGATGAATGCATATTTAACATAAAATGTGAATAGAATTGTAAGGGAGAGGAAAAAAAATTCATAGGAATTAATGAAGAGCATGAGGACGAAGGAGGGAAAGTTATCCACAACCTTTCTATTTCTTTTCTTCCTTAAAAATTACATGGAAAGAATTTTTTTCCATCATTTCCTCATTTAATTCCAATTCCCTTCACTTCATCATCCTCATTATTACGACTTTAGGAATTGAGATCAAGTTGACCATTTCATTTCATTAATTCCATCATCATCATCGCAATCAACGAACAACATTGAATACATTTTTATTCATTCGTGCATCATTAGTATTCATTTTGGAATGTAATGACATTATTGGAAATTCATTTTTTATTGCCTCAAGTCAGTTACGACTGAAAATGATAATGTTAATGTTTTGAATGAGGAATTAGATCGAAATTTGTAGTTTCTTTTTGTTGCTGGATGATGATGTGATGAATAGAAGATGTTGTTGTAATTATGCTAAATGGAAATTGCTAGTTTGGTGAGTTTTGTGTATGGTTTAGGGTTGGTTTACTGGTACATTAGGGCGATATTAAGGAAGGAGATTCAGGATCATCTATATGGAAGTGGAATATAAAGAAGAATGGGTGCTGTTTTGTCAGAAACCTGAATTTGGCAGAAGTAAACTGATGACAAAATAAAACGAGGATTCAGGGTGATTTATAGGTGCTACAATTCTAGAGAACAACTTACTGAGCAGCAAACTTAGAGATTTTAGTACTGGTCTTATAATATATGGAGTTCCAGTACTTGGCATCAGTATGTCATTAATCTGGTACCTGTACTGAAATCCCTGACTAAGAAATAATCGCCAGGGTGTCGCTGTGTTGATTAATAATCAGCAACAAGTCTGAGTAACGAGTGAATGCCCTTAAAGTGCCGTGTCCACTATATGATGTTCAAAATGACATGTTCTATGTTTTTGAACCTAAGCTAGTCTATATCTTGAAGTAAGCCCATAGAGTAGACATCAGGAGACAATTTCTTGAGCTACCCGAGCAGCCAGATCTCCAGTGAAGTTGTTTCTCATTTTATGGCTTAGAAATCGACCCTAGTTATAGAGATCGTTCACTTATGACGTCCAAAATTAACAGTCATTTTTCAAAAGAGACCAATGGATTTCCAGGAATTTCTTTTGTTATTTTCTTGCTGCTGCCCCTTTACGTCATTAGTGAACGGCCCCAAATCTGGCTTTGATGTCAAAGAACGTCATTTCCAAACAGCCACAAATCCAATCCATCATCCATAAAATTATTCCTTAACAGTTACATCTCAATCTGATGAATACCAAATACTTTTCATCCACAAAACCATCCAATTTTCTCCCTCACGTTCTCAAATTTCCACAAAAAATTCAGCTTGTTAGCTCAACAAATGATTTATTAAGGGAAACATCTACCTAATTATCTTGCTGTTATTTAACAATTAGTCTTTATAAATGTTTATGTACTTAATTATTTAATCATGATTGTGGATTATGATGATGAGACAGGTATGGATGTTCACTTTAAAGATATAAATTTTTTATTTCACATGTTTTACAGCACATCATAATTCTGTCTTATCTTCTTCCTTAAAAATAATGTTTTGCAATTTCTTTATAAAAATTTATGAAGATATCATCATCATCAGTTACAACAGCATGTGTGTCATATGTTCAGGAACAGAAACTGGGGAGAGAAAATTGCCGCGCCTTTTTCACCGTGCCGTGTGCGTGATGTGATTGAAGAAGAACGTTTGACGTAAACAGCAAGTGTTTATGACACACATTTAACACTTTAAATATGAATCGCGTGTGAAAAATGAGACTCGATTTGTGCCTTGTTATTGATAAATGAATATAAACTGTGTTTGCTGTCGGTGTTTTGTATTGATTAGAAAGTGGAAAGGGATTTCCATTTTGGGATGTGGATGGTGTTAATCTGATGAAAGGATTTGATTTTTGAGGTGTTAATTTATGAAGAATTTTAATGTAAAAAGTTTGTTGAAAAATAAAAATAAATTTTTAAAACAAAAGTAAGTTTTTAAAAAAGACATAACTTTTTAAAATAAAAATAATTTTTTAACATAAAAATATTTTTTAAAATAAAAATAATTTTTTAAAATAAAAATAATTTTTTAAAATTAAAAAGCATTTTTAAAATTAACGGATTTTTATAATTCAAACTTTAAAATGCATAACAATTAGAATTTAATGGGTTTGATGAATACAAAATTTAGCGATTTTACGAATTTATCAACTTAAAAAAATTTTAAATTCATCAATTTAATAAAATTCATATTCATCCTAATTTTGTTTATTTCAAACGTAACGTTTTTATTTAAAATTAAGTTATATTGATTGTTATATATGTTATATATTGTTATGAACGTTATATAATGCCAGGGGTTGACACGATTTCATCTTGATGAAAAATTTCTTCATCCTATTGTTAAGATGAAATTTTTGTATGAAAAGATGAAGAAAGATGAAAAATGATGAATTTTTTGTATGAAAAGATGAAAAAAGATGAAAAGATGAAATCGTGTCCACCCCTGGATATAATGTTACTTTATTAATTTTTACTTTCAGTTTCTAGCGAGATTCTTATTCCACCGTGAGGAAAACAAAAATCATCAAAAATTTTTCAATCATCATTTTTTTTAATTAAAAGTGCAATGTCATTGAAAAACTTGACTGTTTTGTGTGTTTTAACATTTTGTAAAGCTCATAAGGTATTGGAATTGCAGAATAGATTAAATTAGAAAAAATAAATTAAATAATTTCAAAACATGATGAAATTTTACAAAAATAGAAAAAATTTTTTTTTATATGTATCAATAACAAAACTGGTTCTTAGTCATGTTAAAACATATCTTCTTTGTAGATATAATGGGACTAAAACTTGAAACAGAAAGTGATTCATTTTTTTTCTTTTATTTAAGCTCAAAATCAACTTTTATTATGACAGCAATGACACCAACAGTCAAACATTCATAACAGACCAGTTATATCCATCCATGAAACATTTTAAAAATGTCTTAAAGTTAGATTTAATTCCATTTGGATTAAGTACTTATAGAACAAAAGGATCTTCAATATTCTTTAATTGCAATAACGTGGATGATAAATGCTTTGAGAATAAATTACATGCTTGTGCTATTGAACATGTTGAAAAAACCACAATTCTCGACTTTATCGCATGCTTGATGAACAAACCTGATTACAACTCTTATTTAGAATTTACAAAGAAATGTGCCAACAAATTAAAATTAAGAAATTTTGATATAATTGAAAATTGTGCAAATAGCACTGAAGGATCTGAATTGTTGAAAAGAATGGGAATCAAGACTCATAATTATGACCAGCCATTGCAGAATGTACCAACAATCACAAGAAATATGGTAAAGTATAAAATTCATCAAAATTGTCAAGAATTGTGATTAAAATATTTAATTTGTTTCAGTCGGATGATCAAGAGTTTTCAGATCGAGCTTATTTAAATTTTATTGAAACTGTGTGTCTACACTTAACAGAACCAATCTCAAAAGTGTGTAAAAGTAGTGATGCCTCACAAGAAAAAAGCCATAAGCTGGTTTATGCCTTAATTGTTGTATTAATATTTGTGGTTGTGTTGGTGATTGTATATTTAATTTGGCGTTATAAATCAAGACTGATTAGTTGGAGCAACAATTGGAGCAGTTTAAGGACTTGTTGTTGTAATCATGCTCCTGGCTTTCCGCGGAATGATAATGAACAAAGAGATAGTAATATGGATCAACACACAGATACTGAAATGGAGAAATTGAACAGAAACGAACAACATACTCAAGCAATGAACGATTCACAGCGGCCACTGACAAATTAAATTAATTTTAAGTTCGAAATGATTTTTTGGAATAAGTTAAACTTAAGTTCTAAGAAGCTTAAAAGTAGTTGTGATAAAAGAAGGTTGAATCTTAAATTACAGTACTGAAAAACGAGGACCTTGAACTGTTTTGAGTTCAGTTCTAGGGTATGATTAATTGATCTTTGAGTGTCATTTTGATTCTTAACTTGGGTTTGATAATTAAGTTGTTGAGAACACCTACTCTTCTTGCCAAAGTTCTTGACTATTAAGCAGCAAGATCAAATTTGCAACCATCTAATCTTGTTCCCACTCTTCCACCCACATCAGCAACACCTTCTCTTAAGCTACCGTCATCAAAACAGTGAAATAGCAAAAATCACGACACATTATTACACGGGTAAATAGCATCGCATAACAATCTTTCCTTCCTGCAGTGTGCAAAATAAAGTGTAAAATGTAAAGTTGAATGAAGTGTGAACAGCAACACATTTTTCTATTTATTTGATGGTGCATTATTTATGCCAAAAAGTATTCACTTCATGTTTTATAATCATACCGACTGTGATTTTCACATCTTTTGGGTATAATCTGCATTTTTCATTCCTTATCCGTTACTTTAGTTCTTTTCATTGTCATGTCTCATTGTTGCCAACCTTAAATTTCAATTTATTTTCATTTTCTCGCGAAAGTTTTTTTTTTTTGTGTTCTGACTGGGGAGAATTTTTACTTTTTCTTCAACTTTATTTCACCGTCGTCAGAATTTTTGAGTGTCTGAATGGATCTACAGGAAAGAAGGTGTCTTTAGGGGTAATAATCATTATCTTTCGTAGATGCATCGCACAATAGTTGTCAGTGACATAAAAAATGCAAAAATGTATCAAAAATATTTTTCTAAAAGAAAAATGAAATTTTTACCTTTCACGACGGGAGATGCCGGTGATGCTGTTCTGTGATGCGACGATATGTGTGCAACAATTTTTCATTTCTCATCAAATATTATTCGTTGAAAAAATTTCATCAAAAAATAAGTTTTTAAAATTTTTCATTTCGTTTGTCGCCCGCTGTGTGATGAAAATTGGAAGCAAGTATAGAAGATCAGTTCAGAAATGGTTTTGAAGTGCATAAGTTGTCCACAAGACGCTTGATTCGTTTATCCCGTGCTTCATTCGTTCATACTGCGTTTAACTTGTTCATAATGCACTCAGCTCGTTCATAATGCACTCAGCTTGTTCATAATGCGCTTGAATCGCTCATAATGCGCGTGTCTCGTTCATAATGCGCTTCACTCATACATATTGCGCTAGACTCGTTCGTAATGCGCCTGAATCGTTCATATTGCGCATGACTCGTTCACAATGCGTTAGTCTCGTTCATAATGCGCTGAATATGATCAATGTCGATTTTTCAATACTTGATTAATGCAAGAAAATCCCAAATCAAACAAATCAGTCACTCATTTTCCTTTCAAAAATGACACTATAAATGTATCTACATGAATACACAAAGTACTTTGCCTCATTCACGAAATCGTGTACACCGCGAGTGCTGCTGCTGATGACTTCACGTAACAACACTCAATCTCAATCATACAAATGAAACATGTGTGTTATTACGATATTGTTGCCATATATTCAATTGATACAAAAAAGGAATTTCTTCTGGCTGTGCATTATTACTGAATGGAAATTTCGCTGACATAAAATTGTAATTGAAAGTGAGAAAAAAATTGGAATGAGTGAAATTTTTCAATAAGAATGTGAAGTGCTGCAGGCCTTAACAATGATTTCAAATTAACACACATTTTTCGATTCTCGCGATGCTGCACAGATTGACATGAGAATCGATTTAGAGTCATTTATCTTCAATCTTATTATCGACTGTGACTTAGAGAGTGGGAAATAAATGAAATTTAATTTTTCATTTCCTTCTTTTATTTAAAAAATTGCAGTCAAAATCGCAAACGTATGTTAAAAATGTTCATAATGTGCAAATATATAATGGAAGGGGAAGCTTAATGTGATGGAAAATTTAATCATAAGATAAAAAAATTCATTTTTAACTGATGAGAGGAAGCAGGTTGTGCAAAAGAATTTAATTCGTCACTCATGAGCGATTTGCAAATTTTGTCAATTCGCAGTTGGAATTGATGAGAAAAATTCTTTATTTTAATTTGAAGGTGATGAGTGGAAGGTGGGGATGGTTACTGAAATTTTTCATACATTTATTTATAAGTTTTTTACAAATCTAAAACTTAAAAGATTTATATAAATAAAAAAAATATTTCACAATCTACTAAAATCTTTGAAATCAGATCCTTTTTTGGAATTTATATAAAAAAATTCAAAGATTCAAAAATATCAAAAAAATAAAAAAAATCAAAAATCAAAAATCCAAGAAATTCAAAAAATCGAAAAAATCGAAAAAAAATTTGCATTAAGAAAATTCAACTTTTATTAAGTTTACTTTTCTTTCCATACCTTTCTTTTTCCAGCAAAAAATAAACTTTAAATTTAAAGATGAAATCACCATTTTCATCTTTAATATTCATCGTAACTAGAAATTCACCACTTTGAATGCCTAAAAATGCCACAAGTGCCAATAAATTGGAATTAACAATAAAATTCTTAACTCCAATTTCTTTAACAGGCAAGTAAGGACATTCGTGGGACAAATTTATTGACGATTTTTCAATTAAAGACATTAGAACTTTCATAAATGGTGGCAAATTCGAGATTGTTGAACAATATTCAGTTGAAACGTTAAGGAGAACTTTTTGGAAATTATTTCTGGATGTTTTGTGAAGAATTTCGATATTTGATAGGAGATAGTCATTAATTGTTAAGATTTGTTCCGCAAAAACTGTTAAAGATTTAATTCCTCTGGAAATTGGTTTCAGTTGGCAATAAATATTTTTTATATATTTTGTCTCATTTCCACATTCAATTTTGTAAAAGTTTAAAGCTATCTAAAATTTTTAAGATATAAAAAAAATGATTTAAATGTAATATTAAAAATCTACCTGAGCTGTTCTTAATTTTATAAAAATAATAAGGAAAAATATCAAAATAAATTTCATTTTTTAAGCTGATTTAATAAACTGAAAATATAAAATTCATAATTACAACTTTTATACTCAAAATTAAGTCAATTAAATTTACATTATTTTATAATTTAATTTTGATTGAATTTTTGTATTTAAAATTACTAAATTGCAGATCTGATAATGACATTAAGTTTGTATAAAATATCAGTGAAATGTGTGATTTCGAAATTATTTCATCAATAATTTTAAAATTAGTAAGTTCATTGAGGCTTTGTTTAAAATAATAATTTTAATATCAAACTTTATTCAAAAAAATTGCAAAGGTAAAAAATATAATTTTTAAAATCTTTCTAAAGTTGGATTTTTTTGATTTTTAAAACAAATTTTGATTTTTTTAAAAAGTTTCAAACGTAAAATCGTTTAAAAACTTAACTTTTTGAAAATTTAAAATACTCAATCTAAATGTTAAAATATTATTTTACAAATCTTAAGAATACAAAATTTATTTTTTAAGTTTTTTCTTCAATTTTTATTAATTTTTGTTTTTTTTCTTAAACTTTTCCTTTTCCAACACACAAAAAATCTTAACTTTAAATACCAAATTGCTTTCTTATCAGTAATAGTTATAGTCGCCAAGAATTCACCACTCTGAATCCCCAAGAAAGCAACAACTTGCAACAAATTAGAATTAACAATAAAGTTTTGAATTCCAACTTCCTTGCTAGGTAAATAGGGACATTCATGAATCAAATTTGATGCCGATTTCTCAATCAATGACAAGATAAGTTTCACAATTGGTGGCATGTTTGAAAATGATGAGCAAAACTCAACAGTAATGTTGAGAATCACAGACTGAAAATTATTTCTTGGTTTGTTATGAACGACTTCCAGGTTTGCATTAATAACATCTTTTAATGGTCGAATTTGTTCAGAATAAATTGTTAAAGATTTTACGCCTCTTGATACTGGCTTAAGTTGACATTGGATATCCTTTACGTATTTTGTCTCGTTTCCACATTCAATCTTGTAAAAGTTTAAAATTACCTAAAATTGAATTTATTTATCAGAAAAAAAGCAAGGCTTATGCTTTGAAATATTGTTGTAGTCGAAGAGTTCAAGGGATTTGACCTCCAACCATCGAAATTCAAAAATGAGGTCTTTAGTTCAGAACCTTATAAGCAATAGGACTAAAGAACTACCTGAGAAGATCCGAATTGAAAAACGAAGATAATATTCAAAATTATTAAAATAAATTTCATTTATTCAACAGAAGTTCTTGTTTGTGTATTGACAATATTGAAATGACCACAACTCTTATTATTCTAATAATTTATATACTGAATCCAAAAACAATTAAATGCTCATTAATATTGAGATTGAGGTTAATTTTTATATTACAGTATTGCAGCTGTGATCATGGGCATTTGATATGTTAAGCACTAACTGTATTTTAATGAGTGAAAATAATGCAATACTTCTTGTTTTTAATATTAAGAATTTTAGTCAAATTTTGTATTTTTTTTTGGCTTCAATTTGTAGCTATAAATAGTTCAAAAAAATTATTTCTTATTTTTCACGTCACACCTTATAGGTAAACCATGACCAAACCCGCACACAGCGTGCGGTTTGTGGTTTTTTAAAAGAAAAAAATCTACGGCACACAAGCGTGCCGTGGCACACAGTTTGGAAAACACTTAATCAAAAAATCAAAATAAATTACAAGTTTCAGAGCACTCCAAGTTGTGTGAACTTTCATAGAAAATTCTCAAAAATCTCAACATATTTCATCAATAAAATGTAAAATTTTGTTGTAAGGATTCGAACAGTTGCCTTATATGCAAAGTATTGAATATTCAAATTCTTCCTGAAAACATAAAGATCAAATATTTTAATTTAAATATGGCGAGTGAGTTATCAAAAAGATTAAATGCAATAGAACTCTTGACTCCCACCAAGGGGGTAGCTGTGTTTTGGGGGGGGGGGGTTATTATAAAAAGGATTTTTTGAATTTTTTAAGATTTTGCAATTACTTTTTGAAATGCCCCAAAAAAACTTTTGGAGAGTCTTTTCCCCACCAACAGCCAAAAATTTGTATAAAATGATTCATATTTTTAAATTTACTAACCTCATCTACTCTATTGCAGAATATAAAATTTTGGGCTGGTTTCTAGGGCTGTCCGGGCCACACCCCTTCCCTACCCTTGAATCCATCCCTCACACTGTCCTAGGGGAAACTAGGTGAAGGATAGGGCAGGGAATCTTAGAATAACCTACCTACTCGGGGCAGTGGAGGGGTTCGCACTAGAAACTGGCCCCAGAATAACCATTTCTAGGATTTTACAGACGTATAACAACTTTATATACCAATAGAAACCAGCTTCAAGGAAAATTAAATCATATTAAACCTCAACATAATAAACTACCAAAAGTATCACAAAAAACTCAATAA